CAGAGCAGCCAAGCCATTGAGGGATACAGACTGATCTGGGCCCCTTCTCCATTTCAGGTGTCTCCAGAAGGCTTTTGGGACTATGAGAGGCTCTCAGCATCCTCCAAGCAGCCTGCTGCTGGATGCCTCATGTTCATCCCCCTGCTCATGGCAGGAGTGCCCACAGCAGCACCTTTATTGTGCTTCCAAGCAGCCAGTGTCTGTCTGAGCCTGCAGCCCCCCTCCCAGCGAGCCCCACACTCACCATAGTGGAGTTTCACCACGAAGGGATGGTTCACATCAGCCAGGATGTCCCTTTCTATCTTAGTCCTTACTCGGTCACGCACTGTGGGACGAGGGAGGGACAGCTCAGACACAGAAAAAGGGGCCCAGCACTACCAGGCAGCTCGAGCCAGATCTTTCTCTCAGAGACAGAGAAAAGGAGCCTCTCTGGCTCAGGTGAAGATACTTCTCTTTCTCCCAGCTCACCCTGGGGCCAGCAGTGGCTGCTGTGACATTGCCCCAGTGCTCTGGAAGGCATGCAGGGGAAGAGCATCACAGTGAGAGTCTCCTACCTTTCAGCGTCGCCTTCTTGAGCACTTTCATGGCATAGAGGTGGTTGCTGTCTGGAGGGGTTATTTTTCTCACCAAGAAAACCTGAGCCAGAAGAACATCCCGTGAGCTGAGCACCAAACATCAGCAGTGGGAGCTGGCTGCCTCCCAAAGTGCCAGACCTCACAGTAACCCCAAGAAGCAGCTGGCCACAGGACTGGTGGACCTCAAGCTCTCCATGTGAAAGCCCGTGAGGTTTGCAGGGAAGTGCTGTGTGTGGACTCCAGCACTCCTGTTTGACACTGTGCTTTCCTCCTCTCCACTCTTCCACACCCCAGCAGCTCCCGTGGGGCTGGAGCTGATGCCTGACATGAAGCACTGATGTGTTCAACATACCACAAAGCCTCCTGGTGACCTGACAGCCAGATCATCTCCTTATTATTCAAGGCCTGAATCCTCTTTGGATGTCTACCTCCTTCCCTGATGTCCCGTTCTGCCTGGTTTTAGCTTCAAAAAGACATCACCTTGCTTTACATGAAGCCACTGGTGCATTTGCCCAGGTGACAGCACACAGTCCTGTACCAGCCACTGCCCTGAGCACTGGTAGCTGGTGGACATGAAGCTGATTTAATGTGTGAGCAGATGGGCTGTCAGAGACCTGGATTATTTACACAGTGAAGAGTTACAGGCTACTTCCTTCCTCCTTCACAGAAACTGGACCGTAAAGGGGCCAAAACCAGTCCCTGGCACACAGCATCATTTCTGAGAAGAGAGGAACATGACCAAGTCCCCCAAGGCCTCAGCTTGGCAGCCAGCTAGAGAGCTGCAAGAGGTCCTTCTGCCCTGGGTGACACCTGCATCCACGAGCAGGATGCTACTGCTTTCCTCCTGATCACCTGAAAACAGAATGAGGGGAGCCCTGGACATAGAGGTTAGAATCAGGATTGTTTAGGTTGGACAAGACCTTTAAGATCAGCAAATCCAACCATTGACCTAGAACTGCCAAGAAAAGGTTAGGACCAGACATTTGCTAAGTGGACTTATCAGTCAGATTCTCATGATCTGGTGGGAACCAGGAAAGTGGTTTTATCGAGGACAGTCCCTTTTGTCATCAAAATCATTTATGTGGCAGGACAGACAGGAAGAAGTGAACTCACCTTGCCAAAAGAGCCCTGTCCCAGCACCTTCAGGAGCTCAAACTGTGAAGGGTCAGCTTTCTCAGAACCCTCCTTCACATGGTGTGTGATGTTGATTTCCTTCACAACACCTTCACCCTGCAAGAGAGGGAGCAGGGCTGACTGGGAGGATACTGCAGAAGGGAAAGCAAACCTTCTCGGATTAAAACCCAAGGATTGTAGCTACAGACTCACAGGAACCACATCTGAGAGAATCTTAAAAGGTTGTGCTTGTCACAGGTACCTCCTGGCTTCAACATCTGGAATAAATAACTCATGGGTTGGCTTGCACCAGGCAGCCTTGGGAAACAGCCTGAGCTCTCCCCCAAGGCTCCACTCCTCACACCACGGGCGTTGCACTCCTTTGAACTGCATTTCAGAGGAGTGCTTGAAAAGCACCTTCCTTTTTTTTTAAGGCCCTGGTAGCAAACCCAGGAGTGTTTATACTACTCAAAATCCCACAACACAAAATATAAGGCACTGTTGTCAAAACAGGGCCAGGGCTGGCAAAACTCAGACATGTTGGAGCCCATCTGCTCAGCAATCTGAGCAACTCTGCAGCATAAGTCTTAGTGCATCTTCAGCACATACAGATGATGCTTCAACAGAATCAAGCCTTCAAGAAGATTGAGGGGAAGCCAAGGTCTCTGGCACATGTTTTGTTTTAAGACACATTCTTCTATTTTTAAGAAAATAAAGAAGAAAAAGAGATTTAATCAGCAGTATCTCAAATAAACTCACCAGTGAAGCTAGGCCAGCAGCCCCAGAGCCTGAGGTGATGCTGAGACACCTTTCCTCAGCAAACCTTGTCCATACCTCTGGTGCATAAAGCCCAGAGTCCAGCTCAACAGAAACACCTTGTTCTGCTTTCTGTCTGCATCCCAAATATAAAGAGACTTTTTACACTAGCAGTCTCCCAGCTGTGCCCTCCCTTCTCTTCACACCTAGCCCAGCTAGCTGTACTCAGGCTCCCTCTGAGCTCAACCTGTCCCAGCCCCTCTCCCAAGTCTCCACGGGGAGAACCCACAGGGCAGGCTGGACTCGACTTCCCACTTCTACAGACACAAATCTGCCTCAAGCCAGACAGCCCTGGGAGCAGTTTGTCTTGGAAGGACAAATCCAGGCTCCTGAGCACTTCAGTCCCACGCTATCCATGTTAGACATGGTCTGGTTGCTGTTTGGACCTGAAAGCCAGCAATTATGTTCTAAAGTGCATTAAACTTGGTTGCTCTCTGACCCTAGGTCAGATGTGTCCATCAAGAGGCTGCCAGAATGCTACAACTACTATTTAGGGTTTTTTTTTTTGCCTTGCAGAGCTGGGGGAAAAAAAGTGGTGCTTTGTTTTCTAAAACTACTCCGATACTTGGTCTGGAACCCACCTAATCAAAGCAGCTTTTAAAAACAACAGGAACCAAGTTTCAGGCTCTGCCTCTCCTCTGCACCCCAGCCCACTCCCCACCCTCCCAGCACCTTCTCAGGGAGGGTGGCCTTGCCAAGCACCCACGGATGTGGTTGCCTACCCGCAGCGAGCACCCTTCCCCTCCCACTCTCACGCCTGGCTTCTCTCTAGACTAGAAAGTGCCTTTGTCTCCAGGGTGGTGGCTTTGCTCTCCCCATTATTCAGAGGCCAAGACCCAGTGGAGAAGCCCACGCTGACGTCGAGCCCGAGCACAGGGAGAGGGCAGGGGGACAGCAACCCCCCCGTGTTATCCTGCCAGCCACTGGTGTCAGTGATCACAGGCAAGACAGATCTCACAATCCCTGTAATAACAGGTTCTCCTCTTCCATGGGATCTCCCAGCTTAGCTCGGGCACCTTAAGCTCCTGGTTTTGTTTGGAGGCTGAGTCCATGGCAGACAGCTGCTGGTTAGGAACAGCTCCCCACCTCCAGCCAAGAGCTCCTGCTAGTCCTTCCACACTGATCAGCTCTCCAGGGAATGACCCCCCAGCAGGGACCAACCCAGGGAGGGGACCAGTGGAAGCTGTAGGCTCTTTACCTCCCACCCATCCTCAGGAGAACACTGGAGAGAAATCAGCTCTGCACAGCACCAGCACTCGTACAACTGTGTGTGTGTCACCCCACAGCAGCACACACCTACATCACCACACCTAGTGGAGAGGAACAGCTAAAATGCACTCTTATAACCATCTCCAAGGCACCTGGACCCATCCTCCCACCACAGCTCTCCGGGAGCTGCGGGGTGATGTGTTTCCACAGCTCTGGGAATTCTTTGCCCTGGCCTGTGGCAAGACCCAGGGTGTTCACTGCAAGTGCTCTGAGCAGCCTGAGCTGTATCTGAAGGCAGGCAGAGAGCTGCCTATGGAGCTGGCTGGCCAGAACACCTCACCAAACATCCAGACATCCCAACTACACCACAGTGGCAGCAGCAGAGACGTTGTCACTAACTTTCTGAGGAAAGCTTTGAGGTGCCATTTGGCATCTTGCTGGCACAAGGGAGGTTTCCTCCCATGGACTCATCCGGTAACTCACAACCCAACAGCTGGGATGCTGGACACCAGCTCCTCCAGCCTGTTCAGAGGCACACCAGAACAGCTCTCCAGCACAAAAGCATCCCCCCGAGCTGCAGCAGGAGCAGGCTTTGCTTGTGCCAAGAGAAGCTTCTTCCAACAGCACCATTAAACAAACTGAGCAGGCAGGGGGGAAAAAAAAGCAGCGAACCACATTGTCCCAAACATCCCTCAGAAGCACCAGCCCACCCGGATGAGCAACCAGCAGCTCCAAGGGAAGCAAAGCAAGCTCAGGGTGGTACTGACCGGGCTGGAGAGCTGGCTGGGGGCAGGCAGCTGCAGGCTGCAGGGCTTGGCTCGGTGCTTCCTCTGCAGCCAGAGCGCCAGGAAGGCGCAGATGCGGGGGAGTTTGGGGTCCCTTTCCATCCTCCCATCCCGCTCAACATCCCCCAGCCCCGGGAACCACTTCTCCCACCAGCTCCCAGGGGCCAGGGGGGCTCATGGGTGCCCCGTGGCCGCCCTGGGCTCGGGGTGCCCACGGGGAGGAGATGCAGGTGGTTAAAGCCCGGCCGGCAGATGCGCAGTGGAAACCAGCAACCCGGTGGCACGGAGGAAGGTTCATGCTCCCACTCCCCAGCAACAGCACTTGTGGTTGGCCTTTGGGTTTGGGTTGGTGGTTTGGGTTTTTTTTTTGTTGTTTTGCTTTTAAAAAAGAAGAGCTCACAGCTCCTCGTTCACATTTGGGTTCCCTGGTTTGGACCAGAGGCTGACAGAAAACACACACAGTCTAGTTCCAGTGATTTCCATCTAGTGCTGCATGAATGTCCTGTCAGGCTGAGAGCTTTGGGGGTTTTTCCACAGCAGGGGTGATATTCTGAGAAGTCACTTGCTCTTTAAAAAGGAAGAGAAAAATCTCACGAAACCCCACACAGAAGTCTGACACCACCTCAGAAAGCTGCACAGCTCCTTGCTTGCACACTGGCACGGGGATGATGGGTCTCCCATGTTGGGACTCAGGGTGCATCAATCCCACAGCAAATCCCCTGGCATCATCATTAGGGTGTGCACCTCGTCCTTCTTTTGCTTCATGCTGCACAAGAGTCCTTGCCCTGGATGCTGGAGGTATCCAAGAGCTATGGGACCTTGGAAGCTCCTGGGAAGCTCCATGCAAAGTATTTTCAAGGGCATTTCTGATGCAGACAGCTTCTGAAGCCACTGCTGCTTGGGTTTATTGGTAGGACAGAGAAGAAGTATTTAGATTGCTTTGTTTGCCTCCTTCCCCTCCAAGCCTGTTCCCCTAGACCTTTCCCCTGGCTCAGCACAGACAGATGTCTTCTGCAGCAAGACCCCAGAGAGAGCAGCTAAGAAAGAAACCCCTTGAAATGAGTAAAAAGACTCCCCCACACCTTTGCAATTCGAAAGAAGCCCACGCTGAGCTCTGCACTTCTCCAGAGTGCAGAGCATGAAAAGAGGATCTCGGTTTGGGCTCAGAGATGCTTCTTATGACTGTCCCGACTCCTCTGCCCCCACAATGTGCTCTTTGAGAAGGGATAATGAAAGAAACAAATGACTTAATACCCACAAGACAGCCAGCCCCAGCTCTGCTGAGGGAAGGGACCTCAGAGCTGGTGAGGACCCAAGCCAGGGAGCTGGGAGAAGGTGCCAGAGAGCAGCACAAAACAGCACCGTGCAGCTGCAGAGCACGAGTCTCCTGGAGACCCAGTTCATCTCCACACCTCCTTCATTCCACAGCCCTAGGGAAGCAGAAACTGGGTCCACAACGTGCCCTCCAAGGGTGAGCATCAACCACTTCCAAGGAAGCTGCTCGGTGGAGCCGTGGAGGAGATGCAGCCAGGCAGCTCTCTGTGTGGGCCCGGCAAGATCTGATCAATCTTGTCCCGACCAAGAGAATTTTGCATGGTTGTGTTATCAGACACTCAGCACGGGGAAAGGAGCCTCAGAAAAGCAACCAAAAAACCCCCACTCTCTGTCCATGTGACTGCCCTGCTGGAGCGCCCGCCCCGGCACGCTGACAAGATCAGAAAGCCACAGGAGATGTAAATGACAGCATGGAAAGGGGCTGGTGTGGGGAGGAAGGAGGAGGAGGAGGAGGATGAAGTCTAGTCCAGGATGTGATGTGAGCAACAAGGGCTCTCTGTATGAGCAGCCCCACCTCCTGCCAGGAAGGGTTTGGCTTTCAGAGGTCCTGGTGAGCTCTGCTGACACCCTCACACACGTGGAACGACCCATCATGGGACAGAGCAAGGGTCAAACACCTGAGACTCCTCCAGGTGCTCATCTCAGCACCTCTTACCTTGTCTGCCGAGTCCACGAGGTCCTTCTCTAGCCACGTGAGCTCTGACTTCACCTGAGGGATGATAACAAGCGTCAGCACAGAGGGGCTGGGATGCTCCCCTGAGGTTTGCCCAACAAACTCCTTCAGCAAGACCAGGCGACCTCTCCACAGTCACTGGGTGTCCCACCAGGCACCACTCTGAGGTTCTGAGCAGTGCTGGTGGCTCCAGGAGAGGAGCTGGAGCCAGTTCTGCCTTTGATAAACTCTGCCAGGCCGTGGGGAAGGACACGGTTACACGTGTTCCCCAAGATTCAGAGCACCACCAACAAGGAGAGAGAATTAATTTCTGGCAGGTTGATTAATGTCTAGATCAGATTTTCCTCTCAGCTACACCTGGACAAACTCCAAGAGCAGCTGTTCTGGTAGTGGTGTCCTGGATCCACGGGGATGTTTGGCATCCCCCTGGCAGAGAGAGGGATCCTCTCCAGGGCACACTCAGCGTTTCTAAAGCAACCAGGAGGAACACATACAAACACCAAAGCTCCCCACATCCCTGGAGGGCAGGGCAGGGCCAGCTCTGCTGCTCTGACAGGTCCCTGAGCAGTTAGAAATGTCAGACCATGCTGCCTCTGGGGCCACATGCAACTCTGTGCACCCCTGGAGGGAGAGATGCAGGGGCATTGAAAGGGAGCTCAGAAAAGAAATGCTTCCCAGCTAGGACAGGGCTCCTTCTTCCCCAGAAAGTCAGACTTCAGGGGAGAAGGAAGATTTTTCCAAGGTCAGGAAGTTTCTCCAAGGTCAGGAAGTTTTTCCAAGGTTAGTCCCCCAGCCTGGTGTATTTTAATGAACATACATAGATTTCCTATCACATCTAGGTCCTCTTTTGCCTGTTCTGTAGATAAGGATCTGAATTTGAACAGAAAAATCACCCCCCTAAAAAAAAATCAAATCAGATTTGAAACATTTCCTCCAAGAGGTTCAAGGTGGATGAAACAAAACCCGTGTGACTGCAGACAGGAGGGACCTGAGAGAGACTCAAGCTGTGACTTTTGCTCCTTTTGAAGCAGTCTGTCACCAGGACAGAGCCCATGGTGCTGGGCAGGTCCCTTCAGCACCAGCAATGTCAACTGGGTGGGCTCAGGGTGAGACCGAGCGACCCGAAGGTGGGACAGGGGCAGGGGGAGGAAGAAAACACAAGCCTGGAGGGAGGGAGGAGCATGTGAAACCAGCCAGATTAGAGTTAAGAATTAACTGATTTTCAGCTCCGGAAGGACTGAATCAGGTCAGAGGAGGCCCCTGCAGTCACCTCTTCCCCTTCCTCCCCTCATCTCTGCCCTCGCTGTGGGAGCAGCCGAGATCCCCTCGGCTCTGGGAGAAGGGGGTTGTCCCACTGCTGCCCTGGGGAGTGGATGCTGGGGCTGACACATCTACCAGAGCCACAACCAACCCCTCCCCGAGTGCCCAAAAGCAATCCTAAACCCCCAGCAGTCCCCCACCAGGGATTACAGCCACTCCCAGGGGAATTACACCCAGGGCAACCAGCTCCTCCAGCAGCTCCTCCACTGCTCCACCAGCAAGCAGGCACCAAGCCCTGCCTTGGATGGGCACGGAGTGATTCATTTCTCTCCCAAAACATAGACCTCTCTGCAGGTCCACCAGACACTGCTCCTGTGAGCTACCAGCCAGCCTCTGACCCCCACAGCCTCGGGGCAGCCCGTTTGACACAGATTCCTGCACCCCTGGGCAATGCTACTTGCTGCTCCTGGAAAATAGGACATCCCCAGCCACCGGCCAGGGCTGAGCCCAGGAGGTCACTCAAGTCAGAGGAGGAGACAATTTACTTCATCTCAACATCCCAATGCCATCTTCGAAGGGCACAGATGGCTCAGTCAGGAAAGCAGGGGCTGGGGACATCCATATGGGTGGGTTTTTCCCAACACCAAGTTCAAAACACAAGTCCTCTTCCCTACTCCCCCCTTTTTGGAGGAAGGATTTTCCAAGCCAGAAGCCAAGAGACAGGTTTGTTTTTTTTGTCACTTTGCTTGACAGTCACAAGAAGAAAAAAAAAACCCACCCAGCCCTGCAAAAGCTAGAAACAGATTACACTTTTGGCATTTCTCTCCTATTCATCAACAACTAACCAGAAGCTGTTTGAATTTCTGTTCCTCCAACACATGCTCCGCTCCCCAAACACTCCCAAATTCTGGCAGCACCTAGGAAAGAGGCTTCTTAGAAAGCAGCTCTACCATTGGAAATGCCTTTTCCAAAGGAGCAGTTAATGAAATCTGGATAAAGCCTGGCTCCCTGAGGTGAGGGCATCCTGCAGAAGAGCCAGAGCACAGCCCTGCAGGCAGAGCAGAGTTGAGCAGCGAGACACTTGCCTCCTGGATCCTCGGCTTGCTGCGAAAGAGGAGCTTCAGCATCTCCAAAGCTTTAGGCTGCTATTCTCCCATACTTTGCAAGCTGGCTTCTGAATTTAGAGGGCTCTGCAGCACCCGGAGCAGCACGAGAAGCCCGGGTGTAGTAGTTCTGTCACTGGGATGTATTTTGGGAGTTTTCACCGAGAGGAAACCGCAGTTTCGTGTGGGGAAATTGCATTGTGTGGTGGTGGCTGCACAATGCCAGCAGCCAGATGAAAACACTGGGTGGCTTTACGGGTGCTTAGGCATGGCTCTTCCCATCAGCACAGCTCAGCAGGCTTTTCAAGAGGATCACTATAGTCCCCCACACCACAGACAGGAAAAACAGGCATAGAAAGGGCAATTTCAGTCACTACATGAGGCAGCAGCGAGCAGATGAAAGTCTGTGTAAGCTTCTTCCCTAAAGTGACACTGCCCCTGCTCTGAGTCCAGCACCAACGCTCTCCCTGTGGCAGCAGCTGAGCTGCAGGTCTGCAGGGAAGGGGCCAGAGGCAGAGGCAGCTTCTCCATCCTTCCCTCATTTGTCCCTGCCCCACATCAGACTCATCAGTTGCTCACAGGATCATTTGGGTTGGAAGAAACCTCAAAGATCATCAAGTCCAACCATCCCCCAGCTCTGCCAGGTCCCCACTGCCCCGTGTCCCTCCCACCACATCTCCACAGCTTGGAAACCCCTCCAGGGGTGGGGACTCCACCACTGCCCTGGGCAGCCTGGCACAGCCCTGGGCCACCCTCCAGGGGTAGAAATTGTTCCTCAGGTCCAACCTCAACCTCTTCTGGCACAACTTGAGGCCATTTCCTCTTGTCCTATCACTTGTTCCTTGGGAGAAGAGCCTGACCCCCACTTCATCTGCTGCATCAGGTCTTTGGGACACTGACTACAAGGCCCCATGGGAGGTTTGCAGACTGAAGGGGAAAGTTTCAGAGTCCTGCCCACCTGCTCAGGGGTCAGCTCCTGCCCCGTGACACTGCTCTGCACCCTGCCCCTACACATCCAGGGATGCCTTAATAGGGCTGGAGCTGGAAGGAGATGGGAACTGGCCAAGCTGGGCAGTGCAGGAGCAGAGAGGGAAGGAGGAGCTTCAGTCCTGTGCTTCTGAATTGCTTCTCTCCCAGTTTCTGTGTTTGCAAGGAGCAGAGTGAGCCACGTGCCTACTCCCAGTTCCCGTCAAGAGCCCATCTGCATTTCATCTATGCAAACCAGATGCTCTGCATGGTTTCAGAAGTCACCCAGCTGTTTCCCCAGTGTTGCTGCAAGGTCCTTCACTGTTTTACAGATCCCTTTAGCAGTCCCCACTCTGTACCTTAAAAGAAAAGTTACAGTTCCCACCCAGCTTCTTTCCAGAACTTCTGCAGCTGTTAAGCTGCTCAGTGCAGCCCTGGACTGCAGCACTCAGACTGTCTACAGGGAGCATCTCCATAGCTCTTTCCCACTCCCAGAGCCTGTTTCCCAGGGGAGATGGATCCCTCCTCAGTGGCAGGAGGCACAAGGGATCTCGAAACAGCTCTGCAGCAGAGAAACACAGAAGCTGGAGCTTATATTTGGGCAGCCACAGCTCGTGCAATGAATTAAAGCAGCTGCAGGAGGCTGGTGTGCTTCAGTGGGAGACAGGACAACACAGTGCCTTGGATCATGGGCTGGCCTCTCTTCCAGTCAGTTTTTCTAACCTGTGTGTTAGCATGGACACAAAGAATTGTATCCTCACCCTGTCCTGCCTTGCCAGGGGCCTGGCTCAGCCTACCTGCCTCTTTTTTCCCCCCTAGAAACAGCACTTTGAATTCCTGAGGCTGCTCACAAGGAAGAAACTCATCCCTCTGCTAAACCTAGAGCCCATCCACCAGTCTTGGGCAGAGGCAGAAGCCATCAGCTCGTTGCTTTGGAGGCAGCAAACAGCCAGGAGGGAAAGGCTGCAGCAAGAGTGCAAATGGCCTTTGCTGTCTGCTCCCAGGAGAAGGGACCAGAACCACATAATCCAAATATAAGGTGATAAATCTAGAGCAAGAAGCATAAAGCAAAGGAAACTGTGCTGCAGGCAGCTGCAGATGGACAGGCAGGTTGTGGGTCCAAGGGCAAGGACCTTCCCCCCTCACACTTCAAACGACCTCACACATCTCGGCTGAGTCTGATGCTTTTAGGGCAGAATTAAATCACTTCTGGGCCTCACTCTGTATTTTCCAAAAGCAAGAAAAGGTGGTGAGAGAAGTGGCTTTGCCAATCCTGTTCTTCCTGGCCCTGGGAGAAGCGAGGTGATGCTGCCTGAGCAGCAGTGGGGCAGAGGCTGGTGCTGCAGTGCCAAGCCCTGGCTGCAGGCTCTGCGTGGCTCTGCTGTCACTGGCCTGCTGTCAGGATGAAGCTCCTTCCCAGGGATGCCAGGCACAGAAGGTTCCCAGGGCACGGTGTAAACACCCTGAGACCCCATCCTGTGTCAGCCAACGGGACTGCAGGACTCAGCTCCAGCGAGTCCCAGCACCAGCTCCACCACCCAGGACACGTGGCAGCCCTGCAGGTTTAAGTCCGAACAGCCAGGGTTTGCCTTTGCCCCCTGCCAGGCTCCAGCTGCATCCCACTGAGCACTGGGAACAGCAGCAGGGAGGGGAGGATCAGGGTTTCCTAAACAGGAAGGCGATGGGGTGAAGATCTGCTGCCTGAGG